TCTAGTCACGATCCAACAATCAAACAATGCAAACCTCGTCAAGACGGAAACTTCCGGCAGAAATCCTCCTAGATCGTCACAGGCTAAGGGAGATTCTCTAGGTTTTTAGTACTACCATAGGAATGTGAGCGAGTCGAAGAGGCTATAATATCTTAGGTAGTAAAAAAGGACGAATTAGAATTCTAAGAATATAAGTTTTTAGGCATATAGCCTATCAACCGGGTAAAGTATAATAACAGCAAGGGGGTAGAAATATTATTGTAAGTATTTAAACTGATTCTTACTAGAACTTCGAGGGTCCTAGGGATCCTCCGGCTATAGTAGAAATATATACGCGGCAGATTATAAATCAAATCTAGGCCGAACCAATCCTAGATCGCTTTCGAGATAACGCTAATCTCTCTTGGGGTGTTCTGATTGTAAGGATCACTATCCAATAAAATTAAAAATATTGGTGGTGCAAAAGATTCAGTTGAATATAGAGAATTGTATTTGATGGGGTGCGTGTTAAAATCGACTATCGTAGGGTTTTGTATAAAAGAGTGTATTGTAGAACTCCATATTCTAAATTAACACAAATAATAAAATCACACGGTAGGGCTATATTTAAGTCCCAAAGGAGTAATCCGTAGAGAGGACTAGGAAATTGGACCCACAAATTCTTGGTCCTATAGGAGTTGGCAAGGTCTATAGTGGGCCCATCGCTTGTGAAATATGTTGTCTATTGATTGGACCATTACTTGTTATGTTGCTATAGTTCGGCCACATGGCACCACATTGTTTGATAACTACCATGGCACGAAAGCCCAGCTGAGAAATCGGCTTATCCATGCGCGCCACATGTAATCAACATGGTGTTCTGTCAAATCCATACAATCAATTGAATACAGAAGAAGCTCTGAACTACATACTAGTGATTGATGACTAGTGGCTGCCAGTTTTGGTATTACTAGCAAAAAATGCCAGTATGTGCATGCACATTAGCGTAATTCTCGGCCGGACTTTCGTAGCAGGGTAGTCAGGAGAGGTGCTGGCTATGCACCTCACTGCAATAGTCAGTCTGTCTTACGCAGGATGAGCTATGTTATCTTTCCCCTTCTCCAGCAATCAGTATTTGAAGCCCACAATCTCCTTTATCCTGTTCGTTTCCTCCGTTTCCTATCACAACATCACAACAGAAATTTTGATTCCATTACTTTTGGCCATGTGCACTACAAGCGAAGTTAACGGAGGACCTGCTCCTGTGAGATTACAAACTGTTATTGATCAATTCGCGGCCATTGTCCAACAAAACTCTGAACAACCTGCAGTTGTTTCTTGCCAGCAGAAATCGGACCTATATGGCTTTGAAAATGGTAAGAGGCGTCAGTGTGAGTATTTGAGATGGACGTACGGTGTATTGGACCAAGCGGTCCAGTCATTTGCATTCCACCTCAGCTCTTATGATCTGAAGCCTGGTATGCCGCTTCTGATATTCAGCCATAATCGGGTTGAATGTCTCGTAGCCTGTCTAGGTGCATATTACCTAGGCCTTATTCATGTTCCAATCAGCCCCGAAAGCCTTTTGAATTTGGGTGATGCGCAGTATTTGCTCGATACAGTGTGCAATGCCCATGGTCATCAGAAAATTGTGGTTATTGCTGCTGCCGATATTGCGAAATCTATCGATCAACTCATTTTGCCGCAAAGTTCTGTCAAAATTGCATTTGATGAGTCGGTCCCAGGCTGGATCACATTCGAATCATTGATGGAGCCCGCCAAAATCAAGACTTGTCAGTCAAGCACTCCTGCAGAATCTATTCTTTTTACAAGCGGCTCCACTTCCCGTCCCAAGGGGTGCCAGATTTCAGCAGATCGATGGTTCAATTCGTTGCAAGGGGCGATTGGCCTTGGTCAACTTGAACCCACTGACGTGACGGCCTTTCTTTTACCCAATCATCATGCTTATGGTCATATTTGTATGATCATGCCCCTGCTACGTGGAAGTTGTTTGGTTATTGCTAGTCCCGAGTTTCATCTTCAAACTGCCGCTCACGCAATCACCCACGAGCGTTGCACGACGCTGGCTTTAGTGGGCACGATGGCATTCGGGTTGCTGGAATTGCTACCTACCATGGAATGTGAAAGCCTCAAGTTGATTGTATTTGCTGGCATGACCATCTCACCAGATTTGGTTCGGAGCTGCTTCAAAAGGTTGGGTCTTGCCAGTGTCGAAAATTTCTATGGCATGACGGAGGGGGTCTTTTCCACAACAGGTCCCATTACAAATCCTGACTATATTATCAAAAGTCAAGATTTATCTATTGGGGGTCCAATTCCTGGCCTGAAAATGCGAGTTTGCAGTTCAAGAAATCGCATGTCTGTTCCCTATGGCGTCGTTGGAGAGCTTCACGTATCTGGAGGCACCATGGTGCAGGGGTATTTGGGCGGGGAGCACGAGGATTTCTACGACGAAGATGGAGAGAAATGGTTCATCACCGGTGATACAGTCATGATGGATGAAAAGCTTCAATTGTACATCATGGGCCGGTATAAAGACACAATAATCCGGGGAGGCGAGAATATTTCACCTGCAAGGATAGAAGCTGTGATTGAAACTATTCCAACGTTTTCAGCTGCTCAGCCCGTGGTGATAAAGAAAAAAGATCCCATTGCTGGTGAGGTACCTGTGGTCATACTGAGAGAATCTATCAGTGATGAGCAAGCCAAGCTGCTACGAGACACTGTCCGGTCCGCCTTGGGAATTACTCATGTCCCTACAGAGATCCTCTCCTTGCAGACATTAGGAATCGAAGAGTATCCTCAAACAAGCGCAGGAAAGATCAAGAGAAAGGATCTCACTGAAATGGTGGCATTTAACGACAAGAGAACGCCAAATGCAGCTCTACCAGCCTCCGTCGACTGGAATATGTCTGTTACGAAAGCCTGGGGCCAAGTCCTTGGTGTTGCA